GAGACAAGTACAAGATTGCTTTCATCAACTCTAGCGGCCACTATGAGTATCAGGTGATGCTCTATGGATTAACCAACGCTCCTTCTGTATTAAGATTTCATGAATAAGGTACTCATTCTGTACAAGATGTTTCTGTACAAGATGTTTCTAGTCTATATTGATGAATCTTGATTTATTCTCAAAGCTTGGTCGAACACTGACATCATGTTGCGGAGGTCTTTGCCTGGCTCCGTGAACATCAACTGTTCCTAAAGGCAGAGGAATGCTCTTTTCACCTGACCACCATTCAATTTCTCAGATATGTCATCAACAAAAACGATGTGAAGACAGACGAGGGAAAGGTGGAAACCCTCTTTGTTCAAGGTGTCACAACGCTTCCTAGAGTTTGCTAGCTTTTATAGAAAATTCTTTAAAAATTATTGTCAAATGTCTTGTCAGTTTTCTGGCATTCTCTACGGAAAACCCCAGTCCCTTGTCTGTGCCCTCCAGAAACTTGCGTTCTGTGAATGAACGTCTCCTCGTGGTTCCATCCTAAAGAGGGAAGAAATCACTTTCCCGAACAATCGCGTTCAATCTGCCCAGTTGGTGGAATGAACTCCCTAACTGCATCAGAACGGCAGAGTCACTCGCTGTTTTCAAGAAACGACTAAAAACTCAACTATTTAGTCTCCACTTTACTTCCTAATCTGCAATTGCCTCTCAGGATATACCACTAACTGTACTCAAAATAAATAAATAAAATAAAATAATAATAAAAAAATTTTACTAATACATTCCTTCTTAGACTTTACAGACCTGAAACTTGCCTATAGCACTTATTCATTGTTGCTCTTATAGTTGTGTAAATTGCTTCCTTGTGCTCATTTGTAAGTCGCTTTGGATAAAAGCGTCTGCTAAATGACTAAATGTAAATCCAAAGAGGCTATTTATGCTTTCCACACCCAAAGCCTTTACAAAGGCCCTACTCTTGGTACATTCCAATCCTGAACAGCCATTCTTCGTTGAGGTAGATGCTTCCACCACAAGAGCAGGGGTCACTCTCTCACAGCAGCAGGGGTTACCAACAATTTAATAAATTTAATTTATGCCCCTTCTCCTGTAAGTTCAGCTTGGTGAAATCCAACAACAACGTAGGAAACCAAGAACTAATAACCTGTCTAAACTCATTGTTAGCACCATCAAGTGGGAAACCCTCCAACCTCCCAAGAAAGGTCACAAGCCATTATGCTAGGCTGTCCTCCTGGTATGCAATACATTTGCAAAACACAACGTACTCCATTTATTCATTCCTTACTGGGCACTGGCCACCCCCGGGCCAATGAGACCCTGTTGTTGCTAAAGACCACTTCTGGTGGCCAGGAATGGCAAAGGACATGAGGAGGTTCATGCAGGGGAAGGAAAAACTAGTACTCCTACCTATTTTGAACCTCCCCTGTTGCACCTAAGAGTAGACCCCATGACTGCTATCCCTGTCTCAGGAGGTAACACATGCATTATGTGCATTGAGAGATTGAATATATATATATATATATATATATATGTATATATATTATGTATTACATAATACATATATATATTATATATTACATATACATATGTATACATATATGTATATATATGTATATATGTATATATATGTATATATATATATATATATATATATATATATATATATGTATATATATATATATATATATATATATATATATATATATATATATATATATATATATATATGATATATATATATATATCATCCCTATAAAATCACCTCTCAGTCAGCACTCTATATATATAAGCCACAGAGTTAAATGAGCTTAACAAATTGCCTTTGGAATATTAAAACAGTGCACAACAAGCTTGGCTTTTTTAAATTATTAGAATTAAATAAGCTTTAAAACAACACTGTGGCTTTACTTGTTGGACTTAACTTAAGGTTTGTTAGCATACAAAAACACAAGCTCTGAACCTTCGATAAGCTGAGTCTGTTTCTTTTTTCTGATGATTTGAAGTGCTTCTTTTGTCATTACTTGTTGGTCGCAGGATAAAAACTTCTGCTAAATGAGTAAATGCAATCTTTCTTTATACAAATATTAGACCAATATATAAAGTCTGCATTGAAAAAACATTATTAAACAAAAAAATATGGGGTAAAAATGAACAAATTACAAATAATTTGTAGTTGTAGAATTTTATTAATTTATAGCCTAGCTTAGTGTTTGTTTTTTGATAGCAAGGCTTTTAATAGACAAACAATATATATTTTTAAAGCATGGTTCCATTTATTTGTAAAATAATTACAAATAAAACCACATATTTAGCAGTAAAAAAGTAACACCAACTTAGTGACAATAGGACAGACCTTTTTATTTATAAAAAAAATGCTTTTTAGGTACACATTGTTTGATGATTTTACGAAAAGTCTTAAATATGATCCATGATGCAACAAAAATTCAGTTTTACATAAATATTACTGAGGTTTCACGTTGCAGTGTACAGTGGAGCTACAGTTTAAGATCAGAAATGCACATAATAATGATAATTTATTATTAGTAATAATAATATTATAATAATTAATGATTATGATGCACCCGTTTTTAAAGAGCCAATATTATGGGTTTTTGAAAATGCCCTTCCACGTAGTGTGTAACACAGCTCTAAGTGAAGTGAAATATCCAGCTTTAAATCAGGCTTAAGGTTTAAACCTTAAGGCTTAAATCGGTAAGTGTACAGTGTTTAAAACGGTTGATTTATCTATAAAAGAGTAGAATCATAGTGCTTTGCACAAGTCGTCTTGATAACGAGTCATTAGGTGTTTCACGATGATGTGGCTACGAAACAAGTAGTTGGCCACGCAAACCCAGGAGATTTTAAACCTGCAACCCCGCCCACTAAGGCTCCTACACACCGGGACGATTTTCGTTTGCGTTCATCATCAGCGTTTTATGAGAGTTTTTCCAGTATTCAAACCCAAGCGCTTTTCACTGGCGTCAAGCTGAAGAGTATGCAAAATCAGTCTTCTGATGTTAGATGGCGCTGCCCAACATTAAGCTACTGACACCCACTTATAACACAGAAGAAAAGGAGAGGAAGTTCACGTTTGTTGTTAAAGTTACTGGTGACTCGAACAAGCATGGATGGTTCAAGTAGCAGCTCCAGCTCTAGCGATGAAGAAATGATTATTGTTCACAAGAGCAATAAGCAGCTCCACGTTCATATTGCCTCTAGGCATCTTCTTCAATGTGCGCTGGCTCGCATTGACAGTTTTGTGCTTAAGCAACTCCAAGTGCTGTTTACTGTAACTTCAGCAGCTCTGTGCACATGAACAAAAGTGCCAATCTGATTGGTGGAGAAGGTTTTGACGCAGTGCATCAAAACAAAAAAAAAAAAACGAGCATGAAGTGTTTTTTTAAAAAGACGCTTTTGCATGTTGGTGTGCACTATCACATTGACGCCCTTTATTTAGCCACAAGGCGTTAAACGTCGACGGAAAACGCGAGCAAAAAACGACTCTGTGTGCACGGGCCTTAACGCAGAAAAAAAGCCAAACACACACAAAGACGCCAATCAAATGAAGTCACGCTGTGCAGATGGATATTATTGACAGTCTCTGCACAAAGATGGGTAACACTTTACAATAACAGTAAATGAAAAATGATGTATTAATATGTAAACTTAACATTAATTTATTATGAATTAATGATGAGTTAAGGTATGCACTAATGATGAATTAACTTTAACTACAACATGATTCACAAATAGTTCATGTGTGAATGAGGGCTACCTTAATTACTTGTTAGTACATGATTGTTTGTTAATTAATGTATTAATTACCACATTAGTTTATTTTATTATTAATTTAACCATAATGATATGTTAATGTACAATTATGTTGTGACTTTACTTGGAGGGGCACATCATCATTAACCCATTCTTAACTACTCATGAACTCCTTATGCACGTCCAACTAGTGAGTTTACACTGAATAACAATAGAAAAGTGTTCTGTCAACATCAACATGAACAGGAGTTCATGAGTAGTTAAGGATGAGTTAATAGTGATGTGCCCCTCCAAGTAAAGTCATGACATAACTACATTAGCAGCTCATGAGTTCATGTTGGCTACATTTAGCTTAAACGTAAATGTTTATAAATACATTAATTAACTACAAGTAATTAAGGTGGTCATTATTTACACATGAATTCATGTGAACCCCGTTGTAGTTAAAGTTAATTCATGATTAGTGTTACCTTAACTCATCATTAATTCATAATAAATTAATGTTTAGTTTACATATTAATACATCATTATTCATGTACTGTTATTGTACAAGTCAGGGCTTCACTTCAGACTTTCTTAACTCATCCAAATTAGCGACATTTGTGGTTGATCATTTACCAACTAAACTGTTAAAACATTCAAGGAGCTATTTGAGGAAGTTGCAGAAACTTGTCTTGACATTTTACTACTATTAGTATATGCTCTTAACACCTATAAGCTGCCTCTTATTCAGCCTAAAATGTAAAAAAAACTTGATCTAAAACAATATGTAAATTATATATAAATGTTAAGGCCTTAGGTCACCAGTAATAAGTAAGCTCCTGTTGTAGTACAGCTCTTTGCATCCACTATGTTAAAATAATTCCCTAAAATGTATCATACCTAAAATATCAAAATTCACTGCAGTCAGTAGATCTTTTTCATGTGTGCCTAAATTCTGGGACAGTGTTGCTAGCACACTTCAGAAGACAAATACTTTGCCAGTTTTCTAAATTATTCTAAATTAAAGACACATCACTTTGATGTGACGTGACAAACCGGATGTTTGTCGTGAAGTGAGGACCTCAACATAGCACCAGAGAGTACATAGATGAGTCAAGAACATAAGTTATGCTCAGAGATTTTGAAGTATAATTATTATTGTGATGTTTTACATATAACGCATTACAGTTATTTTAATGTTGAGAGTAAGCAATTTAGATCAATGGGATGTTGCTGACCTTAATGAATGTGTCATATGAGGGTTCATCTGGTTGAGGCGGATTAACAACCACATCTAGAAGAGCCTGTCCGGGCACCGGAGGACACAGACGCACAGACACCAGCTTAGTAAGTTGAACTTTCACTTCAGGGTCAAGATTTACCACCTCCATGTAGCCGCCACGAAAACCACACCTTGAAAGAGCAAGACAGACAGGTTAACAGATATTTACTTGATCTAATTTTGGGCACTAATACTTCATACTATATTCTTTAAATTGCTTTTTAGAATTGTTTGTAATTGATAGATAGCACATGCTTTTAATGCTATTGCTTAACAAAATGAAAGAAAAAAAATGTTGCATTTAAATAATCTAAAAAATATAGTATTAGAAAATTATACAGTAGGTGTTGTGTAACTAAACCAATCTATTTGTACCAACAATAACAAATAATATGATTGAATTAAGTGGTAATATCTCTGTAAGAAAACAACTAAAGGGTATTGAGGGTATTTGAGCTCTGTGTTTGTGTGATCACTGTTCAAGCAACAAGGGCAGAAATGTTACAGTGAGGGGACCTAGGTGAAATAGGGTTGATCTCAGTACAAACCTTTAACATAAAATGTATCATTTAACAACCTATATAATAAAAACCGAGATACAAATTCCAACAACTAAAAATCGCATGTTTTTTAACCAAAAGAGAAAAGGGTCAAAAACAAAATTTTTAATTAATACATTTCTAAAATACATTTTTTAACCTTACTTAAAATGTTAAGCATTATACAGTCTTGTGTCATACACAACACTCAACAACATGCATAACTTTCAGGTAAAGACCAAACAATACCTGTTACTTGTTTTGGAAATATGTATTGGTTTGTAAATTTACAAAACATTAGACTAGTGTAAATCACATATTGTCAGGCAGTCGGATTCACCTGTACTCATGCTAACCCGTTCAAATTCACCCAATTACAAATCACCAGCATCTGCACGCACACACACACACAAACACGCACTAGAAGCACCTCAGTCCATTGCACTAGTATTGGTCCTGATACTCACACCCTGAGCTTCTCCTGATCCCATCTCCAGCGTTTCACCTGTTTCAGTGTTTCATCTGCTCCAGCATTTATTTTGCTCCAGTTTCTCTGTGTTTACTCTTGGATTCTCTACATGTGTTGTGTGTCTGCACCAGATTTCCTCATCTCTTCCACAAACTCTTATTCAACAGACTTTAAATACATTGTTGTTTTCAATAAACTGCTCTTATTTCTACACTTGTCATGTCAAATCCTCAGTTTGTTGTGACAAAAAGACCTACCTAAGACAGACTTAGAGATGAATCCCAGACACACGGTTAACTCACTTAAAGCTTCACTCCTTCCTGCACTTCAACCCCCAGCGACTGCCTCTGTCTCAGTAAGTCCCATGGCCTTACCTAATAGTTACTCTGGTGAAGCAGCTGAGTGTAGCAGTTTTCTGCTACAAGTAAATTTGTACATTGAGATGCATCCAGGTCAATTTCCTACTGAGCAATCTAAAGTAGCCTTCTTGATTTTGTTGCTTACTGGAAAAGCTCTCCTATGGGCAAAAGCAATATGAAATGCCAATATTACACTAATTAATTCAACATATTTGCTGTTTACTAACCACTTTACTGAAGTTTTCAGTGTAGCTACAGGAGCGCTCTCATTTTCGGATTAAATGTAAAAATCCGCCAAGGAACTTCTTCAATCTCCAACTACACTTTACAGTTTCGAACTCAGGCAGCGGCTAGAATGAAACAGTGCTCATATGCTCTGGCAAGGTTTAAATCCTCCTCCTCAATCTGCTATGGCCATATATGATGACATAATCAGTACTGAAAATCTCCAATGAGCAGCCCACATAGCTCAACTCTGAGCTGCTTGCCACACCCATAAAACCACTCACCAATCTGCTTTCAGAGCTGCCTACCCTCCAGTACCAGAACCCATGCAGATCAATTCTACTTGCCTCTTGAAGACAGAACGGGCCTGTCGGATATCATCACAGGTGAAAAAAATATATATAATTAAATGCAATTAAAATACACTTAGTACATTGTTATTTTTTTGTGTTAAATAAAAGTTTGATGGTTTTACACTATAAATATACTAACTAAAATATACTTCTGTAAGACTTTAGTGCACTTGACAAAAGTATACAAAATACCAGTAATACTTTAATAAATTTTTAGTGTACTACAATAAAGTACACTACACAAAAAACATCCAAAAGAGTTTTATTAGTGTGTTTTTCAAAAGTGTGCTTTAAATGCTTTAAACATTAGTTGATTTTTAGTACACTGTTTACATACTAATCCTAAGTTTAAAATAAGTTAATGTATAAGAAATCTATTAGTAATGTATTGTGGTAGAAGTACATTTTCCCAAAAGTTGTACTTAAGTAAACTTAATGTGAATGCAATATTATCACTAAAACTTAAATTGATTTTGAGTGTGGTAATTTTAAGTTTATATTAAATTGACTTTATTAAAAATCTATTAGTAATGTAATGTAGTAGAAGTACATTTTCCCCAAATACTTTTAATACAGTATTTAGCACACTTTTTTTTAACAATATGTATATTCTTTTAATATATTACTATTATACTTAAAATTATTCATTAATATATTTAAATGTTTAAAAGTAGGGTTCAAGTGTATTTCTAGTTGTAACTAAATATATATTTTTAAAAATACAGATATAGTATGTTAAAAGCACATTTTAGTTCAATTTCATGGTCTCAAAATAGCACATTTGAGTACACTTATACATAACATATACTTAATACTATCTTTTAGTACACTAAATACAAAATTTGTGTGCGTAAAAAGAGCACTTTTAGTACATTACTGAAAAGTGTACTAAGTATACTTAAAGTGTATTTTACCACACTGCTTTCAAATTTTGTATATTCTTTTAATATAATACTATTATGCTTTAAGCTATTCTTAAATATATTTATAAATGTTTAAAATTAGGGTTCAAGTGTATTTCTAGTTGTAACTATTTTTTTTAATACAGATATAGTATGTTAAAAGCACATTTTAGTTCAATTTCAGCGTGTTTCAAAAATAGCACAGTTGAGCACACTTAGATGGTATTAAGTTTATCTTAACATATATTTAATACTATCTTTTAGTACATTAAGTACAAAATTAGTGTGCAAAATTAGAGCACCTTTAGTACATTACTGACAAGTGTACTAAGTATACTTAAATAAAGTGCATTTTAGTGCACTTTTTTTTTTACCTGGGATGTGGGGAGTGCCTATACTGTGGAAAGACTATTCACCTCATCAAAGAATGCAAACTGTATAGAGAACTGCATTGTATCTGTGAAGCCCCCAGTCTCCATCCCTATGTCTCTCCCCATAGCGGCTACCAGCATCAAGAGCCTGGCAGGCCAATGCCTACCGAAAGTCCCACCTGATTACGTGGTGTTCCAGGATGATTTCAGTAAGTAGGCAGCCACCAAACTCTCACCTCATTGGCTATAATATATTAGCTATAATATATAATATAATATAGCATTCTGCTGCCTGGCGCTAAAGAAAAGATCTATGCCGTCTATCCCGGAGTGCAAGGCAATAGAGGACTACATTTCTGAGATGCTCCAACAGGGATTCATTCAACCATTATCCCGTGGTAAGAAGGATGGAGATCTGCGTCTTTGTATCGACCACTGTGCTGTAAATTTCCAGATCATTTCACAGCCAGATCTGAGGAGTGCTTATAACTTGGTTTGTATCCGGGCAGGGGACGAATGGAAGACAACTTTCAAGTCCCTGGTCTGGGACAAGCCAGCCTACAAAGCCTTCGATAGGTTTAAGAACACCTTGAGTACAGCCCCTCTCCTGAAACACCCTGACCCCCATAGTCCATTTACTGTGAAAGTTGACGCTTCCACCACCAGAGTAGGAGCTGTGCTATCTCAGCTGTACGGTGAGCCTCCACGCCTATATCCTTGTGCTTTTCGTAGAAGTTGTCCCCGGCAGACAACGGCTTCTTGCCATCAAGCTCGTTCTTGAGGAGTTGAACGCGTGCTGCAACTCTCAATGAGCCTGCTCTGCCGGGTTGCCCAGAAGGTAAAACCTATGTACCATCTTCTCTGCGGAAGAACCTTATGGGCATGACCCACTAACTACCAGGCTCTGGACACCCAAGCAGAAGGAGGACCTTCTCGCTTCTCCAAACCCATTACTGGTGGCCCAGTATGGCCGAGAATGTCAACAGGTATGTCCGAGGAAAAATTCTCACAAATAACATTTGATGTTTATTCTTTGTTTGACACTTACTCTCCCATGTAACACTTTGATGTTGAGTGAAATGAAGCTAGTTCCACTTTACTAGAGTATTGTGGACCCATTTCAAACAGCACCTTCTTAAAAGAGTGAAACTTGCATCCGTCGGCATAAACGTTGTCCTGATAGACCTGGATTAAGCAGGGCATATTGAAAATGTGTAATTATAATTTTATAAATAATAATACCAATATAAATAATGTATTTTTTAAATGAGTAAACAAATCCAAAACTTAATCTGTTCATGTAAATAATATAATATAAATCACCTCGTCAGACATGAGAAAAAGGTTTTCGTCTGCAGCAAATCGGATAACCTCCTCGATGCACTGCCGACTTTGCACTTGACCTTGATGTAAATGCAACAAGCATTAGTTGTTTGTTTTCCAGCACAGTGATTGTTCATATTTGAACAACTGCAACAACAATGCAAATGAACGAGACAAAAACTTCCATTTACCCATTCTTTATATTTAAATACATAGTCTGGGTGATCCTTGTTTCTTAAATTGCGCATAATTGTTTTCTTTTCTTGCTTCAAAATATGAGAAAGGGATTTAAGGAATGATATAAGGACAATGGAAAAAGAAGTCAAAAGTAACAATGTTTTGAAACTGAGATGTAAACTGTACTTTAAGCTTTCAATTGATGTATACTTTGTTAGGTTAGTTTGGCTAAAATAAAATTTGTAAATCTGTAATCTGAAGGTTCCGGAAAAAAAATAAGGTGAAAATTGTCTTTAAATTGTCTAAATAAAAGTTGTTACGAACTCTCTATGTATGCCTGTCAGAGAGTATGTACAAGCAGTACACCAAGTAGGCCACAAGGTTCTGTTCTATCTCATATGGACATTTAGTGAACTGATTACAAGCATCATGCTTTAGTGTTGCATGAGCCATTTCATCTGGAAAGTTTGCTTGATTGCTCGCATTACTGTAACAGAAAAAAGTAAGTTCAATGTCATTTGCTTATTTACTGTCATGTGATGATTGAATCAACAGCAAACACTGTTTAGCAGTTTTAATTTGTTGATTATTCACGATCTGTTAATTATCGCGATCAGTTCACATTTACATCTACATTATACAGTCATAATTCTGTGTTGACAGGAGTAACTCCAGGATTTTACATACCGGTAGGGCAGGATTTGACAGGATGGAGTGAGACAAGATAGAGCCACAACTTAGACCCAATCCCAATTCTACCCCTTTCGCCCCATTCACACGAGGCGTCAGCGTCAACGCTTCCCTTTCACTTTGAATGGGTGACGTCAGGCATTGCCGAACTGCATTGTGGATCCGTTTATGCCGCTTCAGAGGCGTTGCTCGCTGCAGAAGTTTTAAAGCGCCGACGGAAGCATCAGCCAATCAGACAGTGGCCTTTTACTTACTGAATTTCATTGGCTGACGCTGCAATGACGATCGCGTTAGCCCCAACTTCAGACACGCCGTCAGTCAAGCATTGACGCTGAAGCCCCGTGTAAATGGGACGTTAGCCCTTCCCCTTATCCCTACCCCGCGTTTTGCGTATTCATGTAAAGGGGTAGTGGTGTCCCAATTCCCTTTAGCTTTAAGGCATAGGGCTAAGGGGAAGGGGTGAATAGCCCTTCAAATGAAGATTTTTCAGGACCACAATCGAAACCCAGGGGTAAGAAATTTCCCAGAATACACCACCCAGAACGGCAGTATTGCTGAACCCAGAAGTAAGGAAATCCACAAATTTGTATTCCTTTTCATTGTTACGTATTTTTATGACAAACAAACCCATGTTTTAATGTATTATTAATTGCGTTCGTGTTTTACAGTCATTCTTTTAAAAAAATTAATAAATATAAAACTTTAAATTTTGCAATCTATAATTCATGGGAATAACTGTACAGCAGTCCCAAAACATTCTGACACTCAATTACACTCGAATACCCTGTCAGAACAGTCTAGTGGCTGAGAATTACCTTTTTACAGTGTCTGCTATATGTTAATGTTGTAACATTATGTTATGATAATATAATATATGCCTTTAGTGATTTCTTGAAGATAAAAACTAAAAAATAGCACAACTGGAATAACAGCAGCAGTCGCGTACGGTGATTTTATATAAAGCATGAGATCGCGATTACATATGATGACATGTGCAGGTACTGTAACGCTGTCCCAATTCTTAGGGGTAAATTTTGAAGCCCGTCCTCTTTACCCTCGGTTGTAATGGCTAAGGGGAAGGGGTACAAAAATAGAATTGGAATTGGGCCTTAGCAAATGTTGTTTATGAATGTGTTTTGACATCCTATAACAATTTTTTTGCCTTTTCCTTAGAGGCAGCTGTGGTCTAATGATTAAAGAGTCAGACTAGAGATTTAAAGGTTGCAGGTTCAATTCCGGGGTACATCAGTGATTGTTGGTAAGGACAGTGAAGGCACCGAACCCCCAACTGCTCCCTCGGTGGCTTACTGGTCCGGGTGTGTTTATGGATGTAAGTCGCTTTGGATAAAATCATCTGCTAAATGCATAAATGTTATGGAAATATAATGTGTCACACCTGTGGGGTTGCCAGGATTGATAATGCACAGAGCTCGAGGTCTGCAGTGTTTCTTTGCTTCCTGCAGGGCACGTCGTAACTCATTAATGTCCAAACTCCAGCAGTTGTCTTCATCCAAATAATAATTTATTTGCACCGCACCCAACTCAGCCAGAGCAGCAGAATATAGTGGGTACTGAGGAATTGATATCATCACTCCTGTACGGGATGCTCCTTCACCTGACACCATTAACTTAAGCATGGTCTGACAAAAAAAAAAAAAAAAAAAAGTCAGATGCAGAAAAAAAACCACATTATGTCTGTTCTCATGTGATATTATATGACAAATGTAACTTTAAAAGATGATTGATTTTTACACTGACCATTTTGTACTCTGAAAGATGTGTACAAAATTTCTTCACATAAACATTATTAAAACTTAAAAAAAATCGGCGACACTTTAGCGAAAGGTTTTATTAGCTCATGTTAGTTAATGTGTTTTAAAAGTAATTAAGAAAAATACTTCTACAGCATTTATTAATTATACTTCAATACATTCAATATATGTTCTAATGTATTTTTAACATGCAAACTTATGCTTGTTAGTTATTGCACCATGCGTTTCTCATGACTTGACTCTCTTCACACTCATAATTGCATTGGAATCGCAGGAATTATCAAAACACGTATCCATTTACAAACGGAACATACAAAAAAACACTGAAATCACACGCAGAAACACACTAGAAGACAACTCAAAAAGACGTATAATACCAGACGCTGCACTGAACAAAACACAGGACTTAAATTCAAAGGACATGATTAACTGATTGGACACAGGGGTGAGACACAGGTGGAAACTCTAAACACTAACAAACGGTGTGAAAATAGAACAAAGGAATCATATCACATAAACAGAAGCACATGGAGCACAGCACATGGAAAAAAAAATAAAAAAAAATCACAAAATACAAACACAGAACCCTGACATTAGCCCCCTCTTTTGAAGGCGCGTCCTTGCACCTTCTAAACAACACCACATCAAGGGAGGAAGAGGCTTAAGCCAGGAAGGAGTCTCTGGAGGGAGGAGCCAAAGAGGGAGCAGGAAAACGTGAAGGCAAGGACAAGGCTAGGGCTGCGTCCGAAACCGCCTACTACTCAGTAGGTACTGCATTTGAATTTAAACGTACTACTCGGCCGTTAGAAAAGTACGTTCTATACAGTATGAACGTGAAAAGTATGAATGGAATTCGGACGTACTACTTTTTGTCATGTTCACATGACCTACCTGTGTCAATTGCGTCACTTTACTCCCATTCATGAATTCGCTCGCAGGGCATCATGGGATAGCGCAGCATGCATGTGATGTGCACTCCTGAATCTCGCCGGAAGTAGTAAGTCATCCGGGTACTTCTCACATACTGATTTTCGAATTCTATGAATTTAGACATACTACTAGGCTCGAATACTGATTTTAGCATAATATTTAGTATGGAAGTAAGCGGTTTCGGACGTAGTCTAGGAAAAAGACACCAGAGGGAGAAGCCAGGAAGGGAGCTGAAACAGGAGCCAAATGACCCAGGACGCAGCCAGGCGGACAGCCCAGGGTGGAGTCAAGGAAGGGAGGAGCCATGTTGGAAGGATGGCCGCCAACTCCAGGGGGCCAACTGAGAGAGACGCCGTTGATGGAGGTGGAGCCCAAGAAGGGGACGGAGAGTTGCAGACCAAGGGTGACGTCGAGGTCCCAGAGGGGCGAGGTGAAGCGGATGGCTCACCCGAGCGAGATGACAGTGATGGGATATAAATCCGCGGTGGAGCCAGAGCGACAGAGAACCAAGAAGTAACTGAAAGGAGTGAGGAGCTCAATGTAGCAGGCAGGATGGAGCGATTAGGTACAGCCAGAAGAGATCCAAAGGTGCAGTATCAACGCAGAGCCAACGTAGGGTCGGATGGTAGAGACGGAGTCTGCAGCTCGAAGGTTAGAGGAGCTGATGCTGGGCGACACCTTTCAGAGGGCGATGCAGGCAGGTTGCACCTCAAAGCGAGCTCCACTTCTGGAGCTTAAGGGCGAGCTTGGGGCTGGCTGGCTGCCATAATGCTGGAGCCAGCTAATTGGCTGCTGAATCTTTTATTAGCGGAGTAGGAGAGGGTGGGAAGCTGCTTATGACTAGGCCCACCCAGAATATGCCCGCGCAGAAATCATTAGATTTTTAGCAGATTTTTAGCCTATCATTGAATTTGTGCATTTACTTATGTAATTCGATGTATTTACAAAACAGTGTGAAAAGTAATACGTTTTGTCTTTTAGTAGATATTTTATATGAGAGACTTGCTTTGTTTACCAAATAAGTGGACTAATTGGATTTGCATTGTAAACATTGAATTAAATTGAAAAATTTATTATTTTTGATTTGATTTATTAAGCCTTTAGTTATGATACTCCGGATAATGATTATGATCATTTCGCATAAATCCGCAGTTTTTATTTTTTTATTTTTATTATTATTATTATTTATTTATTTTTTTTACAAAATTCACAGCAGAAATAGCAAAAAGTGTCCATGGATTCTCTCTGGCCCTAATCATGACCCTACAGTTAGTGTCATTTGGGTACCATGGAAAATGAATGGGGATAGTCCTGTCTGGAAACAGCGGGCTTGAAGCAGGACTCTTACTGTCTGGGAACAGCAGGTTTGGAGCAGAGATAATGCTGTCTGGGAGCAGCGGACTTGAAGCTAGGATAACACTGTGTGTTAACAGCGGACTTGGGCTGGTTTCTTGCTGTCTGGGGAGAGTAGGTTTGAAATGGGGATAATGCTGTCTGGGAACAGTGTGTTAGAAATGGGGATAATGCTGTTTAGAAACAGCGGGCTTGAAATGGGGATAACTTCACTCCAGAAATCAACAAGTAAACTCCCAGTATCCAGTAGCAACTTACCTTCAGTATTGGGTGGGTGCATGGTCAAGACTCTTACTCGGATCCTCAATCTCCACTAGGACTTCCACATTCAGCAATGTAGCTGGCTCACACACACACGGTGGTTTTCCTCTCTGTCGATTTCGCTGGCAATGGCTCATTTACTGGGGGTAGCTCTCTGTCTACGGTTGGCTCAGGCAGGCGCTCCTCGCTGTAGGGTGGTATTTGGCTAATCACTGGGTCTGGAGTGTCCACTCCACATATGCGGTGTAAGTGCCTTGTGAACCATCTTCGGACAACCGTGCTCTGCAGGCGTTATTCAGGCTTGCGTTGTAGAATCCACAGAGCATGTCATCCTGGTAGCAGGTGATGTTCACTAGAAGCAGAGACTGTCTCGTATGGTCCTCAAGGCTTTCCTCCTCCTGCTCCAGCAGGAGGAGAAGGAATTCAGGGAAGTGGGTGGGGTCCATAGGAAATGAACACGAAGGGAGGGGAAAAGAAACACTGAGGGGCAAAAAGACCATAAAAGAAAACACTCAACACTTAACTGTTTTGGTCTGGTATTCTGTCTTCACACTCATAAATGCACTGGAATCGCAGGAATGTTGAAAACACGTGAGTGTTCAGTTTGTAAATAAATACAAGGAACACTGGAATTGCTCGCAGGAACACACAGGAAGACAGCTCAGGAAGACGTATAATACAGGTTGCTGGACTAAAAACTCAGGACTTTAATACACAGGACATGATTAACTGATTGGACACAGGGGTTAGACACTGGTGGAAACTGACAAATGGGCGGGTAAACAGAACAAAGCAATCACATGATAAAAAAAGGAGCACAAGCTTCGTTGGCTCTAAGGCATCACGGTATGTTGACTCTTCAGCCTCAAGCTTCAGCTTCAAGTTTTGCTTTCTCTCTTGCCTCAAATTTCATTGACTTTCTGGCCCTTAAACTGTTGATCACTGCCCCTGAACATCAATAAAAATGCAGTCACCATTGTTTTTGAATTTGTCCCAGCACCTGTATCTGAGTTTTTCACACAGCTGATCCTCAGAATGATAAAAGTCTGTTGTGGAGAAGCTGCAGGTCTGAGTAGGTCACTGGATCACTGGAGCCTTGTTAGGAATCAGTCTTAAGACATCTGTCAAGATATGGATAGTCCTAGATAAATGGTTGGACATCCGTAATCAGGACTTTGTATATGAGTCTAGACAGAGTATATAATAATGATAATATTAATAATGACAATAATAATTCCTTATACTTATATGGCGCTTTTCGGGACACTCAAAGCACTCCACATTTTTAGGGGGAATCTCCTCATCCACCACCACTATGCAGCATCGACTTGGATGACGTGACGGCATATTGTGCCAGGCTGCACACCATATACCAGCTGATCGGCATAGAGGAGACCGAGTGATGAAGCCAATTGTGATATGGGAATGATTAGGAGGCTATGTTGGACAGAGGCCACTGGGCAAATTTGACCAGGATGCTGGGGTTACTCTCTTTTTTTTATTTGAAAGACATCCTGGGATTTTTAGTAACCACATAGAGCCAGGACCTCGGTCAGTGACAGACGAGTCCTCGCATTGATCATGAAGGGCCAGCCTGTACACCAGCTGGTGACTACTCCCACCTGCAGCTTCTCCGGCTTTCCAGTCTCCGGCACCTAAACTGCAGTTCTGCACAAGACGTTTGGCCATTGGAGAAACGGTTGTGCCAAACTGAGCCTGGTTTCTCTCAAGGTTTTTTAAGTTCTTCACTTAAGTGAAAACTCCGTGAGGTTTTTTTCTCGCTGCTGTCGCGGCTGGCTTGCATGGTTCGGGACTTGTGCAGCTGTGCATCGATAGTTTAGTAAATGCATAGATTAAAAGTGTTTAAACCCTAGCAGTGAACATTAAACCCCACTTAACTGATCTAAACTGAACTTCACACTGAAAACTGAACTGACATGGTTTCAACCTACTATAATCATTTCTGTACAGCAGCTTTGACACAATCTACATTGTAAAACTACAGAAATAAACATAACATAAGAAATGAACATAATTGAATAGACCACAGGTTGAGCGCCCCCGGCTGGTTAACCAACACCACTTCTGGCAGCAACATAGCTTTCCCATGTGTTTTCTCACCCAGGTACTGATTGGACGCAGCCCTGCTTAGCTTCAGTGGGTGGCCAGTGTATGGCCAAAGTATTGGTGTTGGGTCATCTGTGTATTTGCTGGTGCATTTAACTATAGCTGTTATTATGTAAAAAATATTTATAAATACTGTAATCAATATTTTAAGTGGATCACAAGCTTTCATCAAAGTTGTCCTTAAACTATTAAACACACAAGATTGATTATTAAAAGGTTAGTATAGTAATCAATGTTACACTATAAAATGAGCCATTGACAAAGTGAATCCTATTTAACATTAAGCTTAGTCTTTTTTTTATTTATTTATTTATTTTGTATATTTGTTATATTTGCTTACCACAATTGCATCACTGGCTCCTGTTGAGAGATAAATGTTGTCAGGATCACATGCAATTCCTCCATCACGTCGTTCAATGTAGCGTGCAACATCCTGTCGAATCATTTCAATTCCCTGACTAGTACTGTAAGCACCTGAAAGATCAGGGGGAAAAAAATGGCTAAACTTAAACACTTTTTAACTTATTATTAAACACAATCTAAATATTTTAATAGTAACTTTAAAAGGTCTCCTTTAGTTAGAGTTTAAAATTAGGTCCCACTGCACAGTTATATACAACAACCCTATAAATTATGAGAAAAAATGCATTTAACATGTATTATTGATCGGATTAAAATGTGAAAATGTGAATATTTTAGCTATTAAGCAAAATAATTAAGTCTCCCAAGTATTTGGCGCTGTGATGAACATCACTGTAAAAACAATGTGAGTATTCTTAAAATTCAAATAAACAATTACCCATGTTTTTTTTGAAGTACCCACCATATCAATACAGTGCATGTTCATTATGATGAGATGTTGGATTATTGTTTATCGGTATAACCCATGTGTAATATGCAAAGAAAATTAAAATAAATTCCAGAGTAGGAAGTGATATAGAAGGAAGATATATAAATCATCTAGATAATGACAATCTTATGGTAATACCTGATGGAAATGGAAATAACAAAACAAGTAGATCAATAAATGAAAAGTTTAACAAACAAAAAACAAACACAAAAATCTGGTCTGGACAGAAAATGGTCTAACTTGTAGTCGCACCAATTTTGCAGCTGCAGAGTCTTGTACATTACAGGAGTCCTGTTTGGTATTTCAAATAAGTTAACATTAAGTAAATACATCTGAATCATAACTGCTTTTACACACTTAAAGATATACAAACAAGTAATTAAATCAATATGTTATTATTTTTTTTTAAATCATTATTTAGCCTTTTTTCTATTATTCCCAAATCTGTATTGTTTCCCAATTGGGTCAAACAAGAGGTTCATGGTTTAAGCACACACACTGAAATTATTAAGTTAAACAACTATAACTTAATTGGATTAAGATTATATAAGTTAAGACTAAAAGTTTAGCTTTCACTTTATTGTTTAGTATTCCAATTAAAGTTTTAGTTGTGATTGTAATGAATTGTAATGTTTAATCAAACAACTACCTAATAAAAAAAAGAAGACTTTTTGAAGAATGTTTGATGGGACCATTTAACTTCCACTGCAAGAAGAAAAACAAGTGTATATGTATGTACCCATACACACACACACACACACACACACACACACACACACACACACACACACACACACACACATATATATATATATATATATATAAAATTTTTTTTTTTTTTTTAAATACATGTTTACTTAGTAATGTAAATCTAATTAAAACATTTTCCAGTACCAAGGCTTCCTCCACCACAAGCTTTTAGAATGCGCTGTGCTCTACTTTTGGCATCTTCTGGAAATTTGTTGTCTTCAAGAAGATCTGGATAAGAGCACAATGCCAACACCTGACAAATATATAAAGCATACACACTGTATGTACAAACACTACTGCTCAGAAAATAGCAAGACATGCACAATAGCTCAAAAACACACCTGTCTGAAGAAGGTAATGGGTTTCTGGCCCATTGCATGGCAGTCACCGATGTTGGCTTTAATGACTTCTGTAAATGGTTTTTTTATGCCCTATGTTGATTTAGCACAAAGACAGCGGGAATGGAAGAAAGAAAAAGAGAGGAGACAAAGAAACAAGAGAGAGAATGCAGAATATAATTTAAAAACTTTTCTATAAATTAATAATAAGTTATCTTACTTTGTATATTGCATTTTAGATTATAATAATGATAATATTATAAAAAATTATAAATATTTGTTATCCATTCATTTTCCTTTGGTTTAGTCCCCTATTTATCAGGGGTTGCCACAGTAGAGTAAACCACCAACTTATTCAGCATTTGTTTTACACAGCAGATGCCCTTCCAGCTGCAACCCAGTACTGGGAAACCTCCATACACAATAACATTCACACACACACACACACACACACACACACACACACACACACACACACACACACACACACACACACACACACACACACACACACACACACACACACACACACACAGACACACAGACAATTTAATCCATCCAATTCACTTATAGTTCATGTCTTTGGACTGTGGGGGAAACCGAAGCACCCACAGGAAACCCACGCCAACACAGGTACACGCAAACTCCACACAGAAATGCCAACTGGTCCAGCCAGGACTCGAAACAGCAACCTTATTGCTGTGAGGAGACCGTGCTAACCACTGAGCCACCGTGCCACCCTAATATTTATTATTTTTTTATTTTATTTTTAAGACATTTTTATATAGCAAAACACAATGCAGGGTGTTAGCAAATAAGTGTCACAAATACCATGTTTTTATTCGACATCTCACTATAATGATTTCAGCTATTTCAGAGTTTACAAAAAATAAAATTAAAACAACAGGCTGTTTGAAGACACAATCCCAACAAATGTCTTACAATACAACATCTGAATGATGTGAAAAAATGTGGTAACAATTTGAACAAATTGGTAAGAGTAGTATAAGAAGAATGAAGGCCACCTGAGGTGTATCATTCCATTTAAATTTATGAGTAAAAGGCATATTCAACTTTTGTACTTTGTGTAAGAGCAGTGGGATATACAATGAAAAGACTAGTGTAATTTATTACCCATTATTTGCTTTTACTTTGTCAAGTTACATCTAAATGTATGATTACATCTATATGTCTAATACATTTTCTATGCTTTATTTTATTTTACACTATTTTACCAATAACAAGTCCTTAGGCATTACTTCAGCATTGCGTTGTGTTTCTAATAGGTCAATGTCCCATTATACATCATTCCTTAATTAATGATATTACAATTGGTAAGTAGATGGCAAAATTTGTATTCAAATATATTTTGTATTTTCTTAAGAATTTTAAAAATGTCAGCAATTTCTATAAAATAAGGGTGCCATCATCTGCATCGTGAGTTTGCATTACATCTATGAATTCCTAACATCATGGACATATGACATTTTGTGTAAACAGCAATTATTCATTTTACAACTGCAGGTTGAGTGCTGTAAAAATTACTCATATTTAGATTGCATTTTAAAATGAAAGGTTATGATTATTTCAGACAACTTGTCAAAAGTTTATTTTATTAAAAAATTTTTAAACTTTTTTTTCTGCCATGATTAGTGCTCTTGTAACTTGTCCACTATTGTGCAAACCTCTTCTGACAATTCTCTTCCAAGTGGTTTCACTGTACACATGAAGAGAAATGGAAGAATATGTTTGATTTATGCTGTGTACTGTATGTCACTGATGTGTATTAAATAGTTCGGAAGATAAGACTAATGATCTAAATGTTTTTCATGTTTTTTTTTCAAGTCATTTAAAAGTTACATGCTAAACAGTATGACATTGCATTATAATTGTTCCATATTTTAAAATAAAACATATTCTATTTTTAACACAGCGTTAAGGGTTTTGTTTTAATAATCACTTGAGATATGTATGCGTAAACTATATACAAAATGTAAGAAGCAAGTGAAGTCGTGCAGAGAATGTGTGTTTGCAGTAGATAAGACATTGTCATCTGTAAAAAGCTGGCCGTGGATAGCCAACAAACATAACTCGTAAGATGTTAGCTTTCTATATGAAACAAAAATGTGAAACATAGGGCCAGATTTACAAACAGCCTACATCAGAGGAAACCCTATGTTTGCCAATAAAAATGCATATTTGTGGCTGATCACATGCATTTGAAAAAGTTGAAAAATGTTTTATTTTGGGAGAAAAAAAGAAATACAAATCCGAAGTTGGTTAAAAAACAATGACTGTGAAAATTTCTGTGATTAATTACAAATAATATTTACAAACACCTAAACCTGCGTTTCATCAACTTTTAAAATGTACTATTTAAACATCATTTGATTACTTCCCACTGTTTTTGAGTCTATACAACTTCAATAAATGTATTTGTACGTAAGCTGATACTCACCATCTTGAGTTCTTTATCGATCTGAACTGCTCTCTGGACTATGGGACCCCGTACAGCATATTCCAATCGCTTAATGTTTGGGTTCATAGTGTCCACCGTCAACACTCTCTCATGATACTCACACCCATTCTCAGTCATAGTTTCTCCCTGTATTCACAGTAATTCTGGTATAAACCTACAGATAACAGAAAAAAAAACCACTCAATACTAAAACAAAATAGCATTAATCAGTGGCGTCATGCTGTCACCCCCCCCCCCCCCCCTTCTTTTCGCCCATCCCCCTTCCCATTTGTCAGTGGCAGTGACAGTCAGGGACATTTTTTTTTCTGTGATTGTTATCAAGTTTGTGAAAAAGGTTTTACAACAATTAAAAATAATTCATTGTAGTCATAATGAAAACTTTAAATTCATTATAAAAAGTAATTGTTGGTGGTGTGCCGTGGGACTAATATATATATATATATATATATATATATATATATATATATATATGCAGGAAATTGTGGATTTTTTAAAAATGTATTCATTTATTTGCGTATTTATCTACTCATTATTTTATTTATGGAAGAATTTGTGGATTTATTTACTTATTTATTAATAAGTTTGCATTTTTTATTTATTTATTGTTTTGCAGGTTTTGTTCTCCATACTTGCAAAAACAATGAATAAATAAATAAATAAATACGCAAATATTCAAATAAATTAGTAAATCTATAAATTCCTGCATAAATAAAATAAATAAATAAATATATTTAAAAATCCACAAATTCCTGTGAGACAGATTACAGCAAAGACCCCAGTGACAGATCAGTCTCTGCATGGAGGGCTAGTCTTACGACCCACTAGTGACCCCCTGAGACCTGAAGCTTCGCACCACGATGGGACAAATGCTAAACCAGAATCCTTTAAAGGGGTGGTCCAAAGTGCATTTTTTAAAGCTTTTGTGTGTGTGTGTGTGTGTGTGTGTGTGTGTGTGTGTATATATATATATATATATATATATATATATATATATATATATATATATATGTGTGTGTGTGTGTGTATGTATGTATGTATGCATGTATTAATATAAAAAACACACACACACACAGACACATACACGTATATATGTGTGTGAATTATTTAGCAAAAAATGTACAGAAATTCTCAAAAACATTTAAAAAAGATGCGCAGGACTGAGCAAACACAAACACAGGAATGTAATGAAATAATAATAAGTTCAGATAAACAAGCAGAAATATATTAATCCTCCTACCATACAACACAAAAAGGTCACAAACACTGGCCTGAATTGTTGAAAATTAGAGACAAGCAAGTTAAATTTAAGTTGGATACAGGTGCAAAATGTAATGTTCTCTTGTTGAAAACATTCAATTCACTTGAAATAAAAGAGAAGGGCTATGCAGTGGCGCAGTAGGTAGTGCTGTCGCCTCACAGCAAAAAGGTTGCTAGTTTGAGCCTCGGCTGGGTCAGTTGGCGTTTCTGTGTGGAGTTTGCATGTTCTCCCTGCGTTTGCGTGGATTTCCTTCGGGTGCTCCGGTTTCTCCCACAGTCCAAAGACATGCGGTACAGGTGAATTGGGTAGGCTAAATTGTCCGTAGTGTATGAGTGTGAATGAGTGTGTATGGATGTTCCCCAGAGATGGGTTTCAGCTGGAAGGGCATCTGCTGCGTAAAAACATATGCTGGATAAGTTGGCGGTTCATTCAGCTGTGGCAACCCTGAATTAATAAAGGAACTAAGTCGAAAAGAAAACTAATGAATAAAAGAGAAGCTCTTAAAATCCATCTGCAAGTTAATTACTTACTCTGGACACCAGATGTCTCATTATAGAGACATAATGTCTCTCCTGAGGATGACATTCTAAAATATTTTGAAGCATGCCAGGATATCATCAAATTAATGTAGATCCATTAGCAAAGCCTGTTGTACATGCTCCATGAAGAGTCCCAGTTCCGCTGAAAAAAAAAACTTGAACTGCACTGAATAGAAGACATGAATGGAATCAAAAAACAAACAGAGCCAACTGACTAGGTGAGTAGCATTGTGACAAAATATGCAAAAGGACCCACAAGATTTAAACAAGGCAATTCAACATGAACACTAATTTTCTACTTACAGTAGAAAGAAAAAAAACTCCTCCAAAGGGCATAAGAGTACAGCCTCACGTTAAACAAAAATAAACCTCAGATCAGAGCATTGCAAATCAAGTACCTGTAAATTGGAAATGTACTTGCAGCAGAAAGACTGAAAACTGATGAAGAGAAAGCGAGAACTGTGGTTCAGATTTTTGCGAATGTTGCAATACATAACCACACAAGTTAATTCCCAGTCTGTCAGACGTAAGTGTTCCCCTCAGGCAGGTAAGCGACCAAGAGAAAAGTTTTCAGAAACTGAAAACTCTAACAACGAGTGCTCCAACACTCAAATTCTACAATGTCAACAAACCTTTAATGCCGTTATGGGATGCAAGCTCTTAGGGCATGGGTGCAGTTTTGCTACAAGACTAGAGACAAATAGAGAATGGATAAAGAGCACTCACTGATTGCCAACATCAACATGCTCAAATCAAGAAGGAACTACTTGCGATTGTTTACAGATGTGAAAATTTCCACCAACATTTATATGGCAGAGAAGTAATGGTGGAAAGCGACCACAAACCACTTGAAAGTAACTTTAAGAAGCATAAAACACCTCTGAGGCTGTATAGGATGTTACTAGAGTACAAAGGTAACCTAAGAGTTAGCTACAAGGCAGACAAGAAAATGCATATAGCAGATGCACTAAGTCATGATTACCTTGATGAATGCAAAGAGGTCCAGTTAGAAAACGAGTTAGTTCCTAACCTCTGTCAACCTGAGTTATCAACCTAACTCTCTTCTCTCCGCCTTCTACCTGTGTGTGTGTGCCTTATCACCTTCAGCAGTTGCCAGGCATGCCCATGTGACCAAACATTATATGTCACTGTGAAAAGATCAAACCAGTCTATGAACAGATAAACAAGCTTTAAGGAAAGTAATATAGCTCCTATATTGCCTGTAGAGCTTTACGTTACTTGCGATACATGTTAATTTACTGGTATGTGGACATACTTATCTGATGTAATGCTATCCTTGACTAAATGTAATCATGCATTTCTGACCTTTTGAACAGGTCAGGGTTTTTTCCTTCTGTTTGGAGATTGATATATATTAATGAGGAGCCAACCCATTTAGAAAAGAAAGAAAATAATTCATCCTACAGAACCAGGAGAGTTTTGTAATATCCATTTTTTTTCCTGACTCAGGGTAAATCTTAAAAAAATGTTTTTTGCACAGAGACTGTTTTTATTTTATTGACCTAAGAGCTGTTAAGAAACTGTGAGAACATTTTGAAATCAAACACTTTTATTTTGCATGTGCATGTATTTCATAAAATGTATTGTTGATTTAGAATTCACTTATTTCAATTCAATTCATCTTTATTTCTGTAGCGCTTTTACAATGTATATTGTGTCAAAGCAGCTTAACTTAGATGTTCTTGTAAATTTAAACTGTCTTAAAAGTTATCAGAATTGAAGTTCAGTTTAGTTCAGTTCAGTGTAGTTTTTCATTTTAACTGGTAAAAGTCCAAACACTGAAGATGTGCAGCTACACAAGTCCCAAACCAAGCAAGCAGTGGCAAAGAACAAACTTCACCAATTGACAAAAGTCAAGGAAAAAAAAAAACCTTGATAAACCAGGCTCTGTTGGCCATGACCATTTCTCCTCTGGCCAAACTTCTTGTGCAGAGCTAGTCTAGTCACCGGAGGCTGGAGAATGTTGAACATAATTCGTGGAGAAGTTGAGGTGTGTGTAGATCACCGGCGGGTATACTATGGAGCTAATAAAATGCCAAAACAATCTGAATTTGAATTGTGTTAATTTGATTAATTGACAATTGTAATTTAGAACATCTAAATTTTTATATGTTGTTACAATTGTTTTGAATTTAAATTTCTTAATTTGAAGATTAATTCATAACTTGATTAATGAACATCTGATATTTAAGACAACTGAATTTTTCAAGGAAATTTTTTATAGACGCATTTTCAAGTTGCAGATTTTTTGCGTTGTAAGCTGAAACAGATAAGCAGTTTATAAAAAATACAGTATCAAGTTTTTAAGATTAAGAAATTCAGAACATCAAATTCAATAACCTAAAATTCAAAACCCGAATATCAGATCGTAAAATTCAAATTTAGCAGAAAGTAGGTCAGAAGTGATCAACAGGGAAGAGTAGCTGATCACCGAAAAGTCAAACTTAGCATTTTGGCCAATTACAGAGCTGCAAGAGTTTACTGGTGTATGTGAAGCTCAGGAGGACACAATTCTTCTGCAAACTGACTATGGGAAGTTAGCTATTTTCAGTAGTTTGTGTAATAAATGTGTACATGCTTCAGTGAACCAAATTCATATATTTAATTCAATTAAGTTAATTCATTCATTTTCTTTTTGGCTTAGTCCCTTTAGTAATCCGGAGTCGCTAAAGCGGAATGAACTGCCAACTTATCCATTTTTACACATTTTTACAAATCGGATACCCTTCCAGCCGCAATCCATCTCTGGGAAACATCCACACGCACTCCTTCACACTCATACACAATGGACAATTTAGCCTACCCAATTCACCTGTAACACATGTCTATGGACTGTGGGGGAAACCAGAGCACCCGGAGGAAACCCACACAAACACTGAGAGAACATGCAAACTCCACACAGAATTACCAACGGACCCAGCCAAGGCTCGAACCAGCCACCTTCTTGCTGTGAGGCAACAGTATTCTACTGTGCCACTGTGTCACCATTCAATTACATCTCATTGGTTAATACATTTTATTTACGTTTTTGGTGTTTTGAGGGATAAAGAGCTGACTCTGACCTATACTGTAACCTCTGATGGGTTATTTCAAAAGACACAGGGCTCTTACACCTTTACCAAAGTCACATAATATGAGTACTCACACTATGTACAGTTGCCTTGAACCGGGCCAAAAAAAGCTTGAACCCCCTCCCATCTCCCCCGACGACCCGCACTCACATTACATTCAGGCCCGGGCACGCTTACGTCATCGATGATGCGCTGTTTAGTTAGGGCTGTCGCTCAGCACAGTGGACATTTTTTTTAATCATTTCACTGTAGTCGTTCGATATACAGTGACACGCAGTCAAATTTTTTGCCGAACACATAAGCCATTTTTGACGCTTACAAACAATCACAAAGTCCTCATGCTGCAGGGATTAGGAGGTTTGCTGAATGTGCAGCTGTGGTGCAGTGAGGGGTTTGCGTCTTTAATAATCTATGACAGTTTGCGTTCATTGAACAGTAAGAATAATTTATAAATCTGTATTAAACAGTCCTTTAAAAGTCACATCTTGCTATTAGTTTCGGACTCACACACGCTCATGCACTCACACACAAACGTACCGCGCCAAAGCCCAAGTGAACCGCGCTCAGGCACACCTCTTCCAGGGCCGGCCAAGTGAACCATGCCTGAGCCTGATTCAGAGCACTCACACTTCTCAAACAACCCAGAAAACGGGCCTGGGCATGGTTCGGATAGCATAGTGTGAGTAGGCTCTAAGAGACTTTTCAACCTCTTTCCAAGAGCATTTTCAAACTGTCTCAGCATTTTAGAACTGTGGTAAGTGATATTTGCATGCACATACTTCTTCATCAAATTATACAAGATGCTTTTTGTTACAATATTCTATACTACAGCATAACATAAAGTGTAGTATTTTTAAGGAAAATTGTAATTAAATATGCAGTTGTTGAGGAGTTGAGTTACTACGCTTCCAGGAGAGCTGACTTTTTTCTGGGTCCAGTCTGGCTGGACTCAGAGACTAAGGGCCTACTCACACTATGCCATCCGTACCGTGCCCAGGCCCGTTTCCTGGATCGTTTGAGAAGTGTGAGTGCACTGAATCGGGCTCAAGCACGGTTCACTTGGCGGGCCCTGGCCCGGTTGGAAGAGGTGTACCTGAGCGCGGTTCACTTGGGCTTTGGCATGGTACGCTTGTGTGTGAGTGCAAAACGCGCCAAAGCCCGAAACTGAAAGTGAGACGTGACTGTTAAGGGGCTGTTTCATATGGATTTATTAATCATTCTTACTGTTCAGTGAACGCAAACTGCCGTAGTTTATTAAAGACGAAAACTCCTCACAGCACGACAACTGCGCGGCTTCAGCAGACATCCTCATTCCTGCAGCACGAGAGCTTTATGATTGTTTATGAGCGCCAAAAGTGGCGGATCTGTTTGGCGAAATATCTGACTGCGTGTCACTGCATCCCTAAGGACTGTTTGGCGAAATATTTGACTGCATGTCACTGCATAACAAACGACTGAAACGATATAACTAGAGAAATCTCAACTGTGCTGCTGAGTGAGAGAGCGCTTCTTACTGAACAGCGCAGCAGCGATGATGTAAGCGTGCCGAGGCCCATTTGTGGCGGGCCGTCAGGGGAGACGGGAGGGGGGACAAGCGTGCTTTTGCCCGTTTCAAGGCAACTGTACCTAGTGTGAGTACGGCCTAAGATGAGATGAGACTAGCCTCAAACACCCCATCTTCTTTTTACTCTTCTTTATTTTCTTTACTTTGAGAGTCTAGTAAAGTTAAGTTGCACCGTGAAACCAGTCAACACAACTACAGTCTTTTGGAGCCTCAAACTTAAACTACTAGACTTTGCTCCATCAATAGCTCCACCAAAGAATGCAAGTACATCTCCAAATCCATTACTGAACTGATGTATAATCATGTTAAGTGATAGATAACACTGCCCAAGAAACAATTAAGGTTTAATTGATGATTTGGTTTGCTTGGTTAGGTTTTGCATCTTGAGGATTTACATCATCGCTAGTTGTTATGGACCATACTCCGTTCACCTTAAACATTCACAAGAAACTCCAGAACACAGATGATTAGTGTCCATAAAATTTTCTTAGAATTCAGTGAAACTGCAATATGATACAAATGAGATTATATGTAATATTTAAAATGAGGTTAGTATTAAATCAGTTGGGTTAACATTGATCAAGTGATAACACAATAAAGTTAGTAAACAATGAGCAGTAAATGGGCACTCATTGCTTTGCATCTTAACACAACCGAACCTTACAAATGTACCCTGGGCCACCCCTTTAAAGCAGCAGAGACACTGTTCTATGGAAATGCAAAGAAAAAATAACTTTTCTTTAGACAACATGTCACTAATTCTCCTCTTCTATTTCTTTTCTGCAACAGGTATGAATGTGTTTGTGTTAGTTTTGTTTGTAATCATAGTGTCTAGTGTGTATATGTAACGAAGGCCAGCTAGTAAGTGCTGTGCAGGTAAACCTCACTCCTCTGACCTCTAATGATACTCTAGAGACAGACATTAGAGGCCATGGTCTTTATCCTCCTTGGTAGAGCAACTGACTCCCATGTGGAAGGTTGCCGGTTCGATACCAGCTCAGTGTGGGTTGGGTGATGTAGGACCAGCAGGGTTACATTGGGGCTGTGACCTGGATGGGAGTGAGGTTAAGGGGGGTTAAAGTAATGGAGGTCAGCTAGTAATTACTGTGCATGTAAACCTCACTCCTCTGACCTCTAAAGGTGCTATAGCGACAGATGCCAGAGGCCATGGTCTTTAGCCTCCTTGGTAGAGCAACCGACTTCCATGCGGAAAGATGCCAGTTTGATACCAGCTTGGAGTGGTTTGGGTGGTGTAGGACTGGTGGGGTTATACATATTTGACCATACATTTTGCATGGGATTCCATAAAGAGTTTTTGGCTTAAACTTCTCAAACAACGCATATACTGGAAGTAGTGGATGCAAATTTACTTGTAATTATGATCAATTTCGGTGGTGATTTACATTGGATTTTGAAATACAGTAAAAATAAATTTTGAAATAACCTTTCAACGAATCAAATTGTGTTCTGACAGATTTCATGAAAGAACAAATGTGGTTCTCTGTCATTAAAGCAGTGACACATACAACTCCCCTAACAAAACAATATTTTGCTTAATGACTTTCATATAAAAATGATGTAAAAAGTACTTTATTGAAAGCGTAAAGTTAGATCCCTTTAATATCACAGTTGACAAAGTAAGTGACATTACATTCATTATCTGGAGTATTCTACATCTGGCAACCAGTGACAACATTGTTGTCATAATTTTCAAAGCTTCTGCATATAATTTAAAGAGAAAAAACCTTAGTTATAAAATCTGAGGAAAAAGTTTATGATGTATGTAAACAACATATGGTTAAAACGCTTATTAAATTGCACAGTACCTTGTTTGATCGATTGTGGTCCTAAATCTCTGTCTTAGTTTTTAATCACCTCTTCTATGCTCAGATTTAAAGACAGCCCCACCAACATGAAGACCTTGTGTTCATATATGACATCAGAGCTTGTTTATGCCCACCCCTCTCATTCCGTTCTATTCAAGGAAAGTTTCCAAGACATTTCTGAGTGGACATTTGCCACTTTGGATTGTAACTGCTCAGGAGAGAGTGACATTTGATCTTGGTGGACACATGATGTTGACTCAGATGACATTTAGTTGTGAGGAACATGACAAACTGTACAAATGTTGTAGTCCATCAGCATAAATATACAAACATACATATTAGATTACACATCAAACATCAGCCAAAACTTATGGACCATGTCTAAATATAATACACATGGTTGACCTCTAATAGTCAGACGACTTACATTCATGTTCATACTAGTGGGAGACAGAACAAGGAAGCAAAGTTCAAGATTGGTGACTTCTTAATATATCACATGAAACATGTTGGATGCATCTGTAGCATCAACATTTATTCTCCAACAATAGCAATTACATAAGAGGTGTGGATGCAGACCTAAGTTGAAGGCTGAGCTGTATGCAATGCTTTTTAATGCGTACACCTAACCTTATCCCTCACAGTGACATCACTATCTCCATTGAGTGCATTGTCTGACATACTGTATACAAAGACCAAGACTTGCAGGTTCGGCTTGAATAATCAAGGCTGCATCCAGATACTATTGGAGCCTATTTATGCTTCCCTGGTCATTTGAAGTGCTTAATATCCTCATTTGTAAATTGCTTTGGATAAAAGCATTTGTGAAAAAATTTAACATTTAGAAAAGTAAATCTGGCAATCAGTAAAGAGTACGCGTAGATATGTTCAAATTTATGAAGATGACTGGAAAAAAGGGAACTATTCAGGCGTATTTATCCCAACACAACATAAAAAAATCGAATATGATTTATTTTGATTCAAAAACGTCATTTTATAGCATTAAAACAGTCATCTAGATTTTTTTATAGACATACACTAGACTATTAATTGTGATTTTTGATTTTGTTATCAATTGTTGCAAACTCAAAGAAAATATATCATAAAAAATAAAAGGATAAAATAATATATCGTCAAAAGAAGAGGGAAAGGTCATGTATGTACATATTTACACTCTCCGATGCAGTAGATGGCAGTAGGAGGCGATATACAATAGGAGGAAAAACACCGAGCCAGCTTATCACACAGGACTGTAATCACGTTTGACAGCTGCGGACCTCAACAGCGTTTTGCCCGGTAAGGTTTGGCTTTGCTTAGCCGTGCCATGTTAAAGTTGAAATGCTGTTCAGATACATGTGCCCACAGGGTTGGAAGCATGTAAAGGGCCATGCTGCGTCCATTAGGACACCTTAATATCATCATTATCATCATCTTATACTGTTAGTGAAAATAAATCTTCCAGAATTAACGTTAACTTGAAATTATACTTATGTGTTTTGCCTTAACGTTAGTTGTTACTCATCATGAGTAAAAAGGTCACTTACACACCCATGGAAGACACCCAGATTCACACTCTGAACATATTTGTCTTGTTCAAACATAATGCTGCTTTGCTGTTTAAACATATAATGCCATTAAGTGGGTCTAAGTTAAGGAAAGTGTTTTGTGCTGTGGTGTTATATTGACGGAATTGAAAATAACTTAACATAGATCGTTATTGACTCGATAAAAATAAATAAATAAATAATCTGATTATTGATGAATCGTGGATTATTTCCAGTGGTTGATCTACCTGGTGGGTTTTGTTTGGTGCCAAAACCGTAAAGGAACATCACAAGTAATTATGTATGTTTTAGAAAAGTTTTTTAGAAAAATCTAGAGAATCAACAGAATGTCTCAAGATGTTTTCTGCAGTTTTTAAAATAGTTCTATAGTAGTAAAACATAGTAATATCAGTTGTCCACTCTATTTTCTCTATTCGTTAGCAAAATGTCCATATTTAAACACCCTTAGTTGTTGATAAATAATATATAATATATAGTAAAGAATATAGTACATTGTCATTTATTTCATGTCATGTGTGTGTGTGTGTGTGTGTGTGTGTGTGTGTGTGTGTGTATGTGTGTGTGTGTGTGTGTGTGTGTGTTCGTTTTCTTTTCGTTTCGGAATGAACCGCCAACTCATCCAGCATGTGTTTTACGCAGCAGATGCCCTTCCATTTGCGACTCATCACTGGGACACACCTGTACACTCTCGTTCACACACACACTATGAACAATTTAGCTTACCCAATTTACCTATAGCGCATGTCTTTGGACTTGTGAGGGTAACTTAAACCCACGTGAACACAGAGAGTACATGCAAACTCCACACAGAAATGCCAACTGACCCAGCCTACGCTCGAACCAGCGTTCTTTTAGCTGTGAAGCAACATCGCTACCCACTGCGAGATATATATATATACATACATGATTCGCCCTGTATGACACAACGTGTTATTACACTGTGGTCATAAAGTTGTGGATATAGTCAGCAACAATACTCAGGTAGGCTGTGGCGTTGACACAATGCTCAATTGGTACTAATGGGCCCAAAGTGTGCCAAGAAAATATCCCCCACACACTTACACCACCGCCACCAGCCTGAACTGTTGATACAAGGCAGGATAGATCCATGCTGTTGATGCCAAATTCTGACCCTACAGTACTATGCGAATGTTGCAGCAGATAACGAGACTAATTTGACCAGCCAAAATTTTACCAATCTTTTTATGGTTAATTTTGGTGAGCCTGTACGAATTGTAGCCTCAATTTTCGGTTCTTAACTGACATAAGTGGCACCCGATGTGGTCTTCTGTTGCTGTAGCCCATCCGACTCAAGATTCAATTTTTAGAGATGCTCTTCTGCATAGTTGTAACAAGTGGTTATTTGAGTTACTGTTGCCTTTTTATCAGCTCGAACCAGTCTGGACATTCTCCTTTGACCTCTGGCATCAACAAGGCATTTGCACCCACAAAAATTGCCAATTTTTTTTCTCTTTTTTTTTCGGTCCATTCTCTGTAAACTCTAGAGATTGTGCGTGAAAATCCCATTAGATCAGCAGCTTCTGAAATACTTAGACCAGCCTTTCTGGCACCAACAACCATGCCACATTCAAAGCCACTTAAATCACCTCTCTTCCCCATTCAGATGCTCGGTTTGAACTACAGCATATCGTCTTGTCCATGTCTACATGCCTAAATGCATTGAGCTGCTGCCATGTGATTGGCTGATTCGAAATCTGCTCTAACAAGCAGTTGGACAGGTGTACCTAATAAAGTGGCCGTTGAGTGTATATGGACAATGAAACTGAAACGTCTGGTTACAGACCACAATAATTCATTAGTATAGTGCCTCCTTTTGCAGCAAATACAGCATAAATTAGTCTTGAGAATGATGCAAGATTTTGAGCTTTTTTTTTGTAGAACAATGGCCAAGTCACTACGTGATGTTGGTGGAGGAATCATTTGCTGACTTCTAAAACACCCCGAAGTGGCACAGTAAATTAATATTTAACATCAACATGATATCATAACATCAACAACTTTTCTTTTTTGTTCATCAAAACACTCTGTCACCAGTCTTGGTTTGTGTATTAGTGCATTCTCTAATATTCTCTGATTTTTGAGTATTGATGCATCATCTGATGGCACCGCCTTCAGGATACAATGTTTGAACCATTGGGTACACATGCGCCTCCAGAATGGTTAAGTAGTCCTTGGCAGTGATAAGCCTATCTAGTACAAATATTGGGCCTAGGGAATGCCATGATATTACAGTTGATAGCCAAAACCATTACTGATCCAACCTCATGCTTCACTCGTCAAAAGTTTTGTTAGAAACATGAGAATTGAGGTGCACATTTATGTCTGCAGTGAGTTGAACAGCTGTGGTTTTATGTTTTTTGATTATATTCCTAGTTAGTACCCAGACATACCCAGACAGCTTCCTTTTAAGTTCACAGTTACTCCTGTTTGATGTGGTTTGTCCTTCTTGGGGGTATGCTGACATGCTGGAAAGCGAGACATACACTAACAATTTGTCCTCTTTTGAACTTAGATATGTCATCTATAATGTTGTTTGCATTGCAATATTTTAAGCAAAACTGAACTATTACAAAGCATTTTACTTGCCTCATGATGGTTTACAACAAACCAACCAACCAACTCCCAACTACTTTAGAAAAAAATATCTTTCTGAAGCTTGTTTTAACCTGAAAAGTCTTATAGGATTAATAACTATTGATACATTTTTTTTTTAGAAACTGTGTTTTGAATCCTGACAGAAAGAATGTACATCATTGGATCCTGTTGGTCATGCAAGCCTGTATATAAAATAAACTATAATTCTTTTCTAAAAACCATTAAATAATCTTTCATTAAACATTCATTATTCATCAAGTAGTCATAAATGTTGTTAAATACAGTAGGCCTTTTTCCGTGAAAAAGGCCTGTTGTAAAAATATTCTCATGCTTTTTTTATGAGAAAAAATAATTTGAAACATTTTACAGTATCTGACTTCTCTTGGTAGTGTAGTCATTATAGTGTATTTTAAAATTGTATTGAATCAAAATAGCATAATTTTGACAGATACTATAAAATTAATTCCCAGTCTTAAACAAGCATGAATAAAGCAAATGAAACAACAAATGTCTTAAATGACACTCGTGCTGTGGTGCATGAAGCTAACACTTTTTTTTTAATTTTCTGTAGTCGTTCTCAGCCGAGATGTCTGTAAAGGCCATTTCTGAGCGGACAGGAAAAGAGCTCCTGTATAAATACATCTGCACCACAGCAGTTGTGCGAAACCGTTTCTCCTGTGTGACGGTCACTACAGACACCAACTGGGACTGCATTACAGTGGACCACCCGTGGCTGCTAACAGAAGTAAGAACATGCATGTGTCTTGCTTTTCTATTTTGTAATACTGCATCATTTTTATATTTTTACTTGTGCAGAGGCTAGTTGTGAAGCCAGATCAACTGATTAAACGAAGAGGAAAGCTGGGATTGGTAGCAGTTGACCTGAAACTTGAGAGTGTCCAGGAATGGCTGAAATCACATCTGATGACAGAAATTACAGTGGGTACTCCCTATGAATTTAGATTTTTTTGAGTATTAAAATATACCCTCACTTGCATGAACCCACTTTAATAAAATTGTTTCAGTTGTGAATAAATAATTTAATCATAGGTTCAAGGGATTTTTTCCACTGTTTTTCAGGTTGGGAATGCAAAAGGGGTTTTAAAGAAGTTCCTCATTGAGCCATTTGTTCCTCATATTCAGGTATATATTATTCAGTTTTAATCAGTGTTATAGATCTATGCCCAGGGTGTCTCCTGAGGCTTAAAATGTTTTAAAAGTTGATAAATCAATGTAGAATAATTTAAGGCCCTTAAAAAACCTTATTGCTATTTTGCAAGGTATTACTTTTTATATAATTTTTGATTATGCAACATATGGTTGTATGCCAAGGCTTGCCTGAATTAAATCTGCAAATATCAGGATGCTGTTTATTTTATGAAGTCCATAAAATCCGGCTAGATTTGGCATCATGCTGCTTTGTTAACTGCAGTAGCCAAGGCAACACCATTATTTTTGCAGTTTTATAGGAACCACCTGCTGGATTAGTTAGATTAAAAAAAAACATTATTGAGTAAATGAATTAAGTTTTAGTTTTGAATTAGTTTCTTACTTTAATAATTAGTTAATATACTGTAAGTTAAAATCTTGCCAGTGTTTCCAGTTGAAACCTAAAGTGGTTATAATATGTATGGAAAAAGTCTTAAAAAAGGTCTTTAATGTTATACATTTTTTTTACTCTCTATTAACTGTGTAAACTCTGATGTCAGTTATAATTATAGTTATTCTATGTAGACTGTGTTAACTAGTGTCAACATTTAAATTGATCTGTATTAGTACTTTCTATCTAACCTAAACTATATGGGCATACAGTTCATCTGGAAAGTATTCAAAGCCCTTCATTTTTAAAAACTTTTGATATGTTAAAGCTGTATTCCAAAATGGTTTCAATTCATTATATACCTCATTAAATTATACAAACAATATCCAATAAATACAAAATGTAAGAAGTTTGTTTGAAAACTGAAATGCAAATTTATTACAAAATTATAGATTTTTCTTTATATGTACATTAGTAGGTACAGTCTTTGCTGAATACTTTAAGCACATATACAGTGGCACATATACAATATTATGTACAATTTAAAACCTTTTTTTATTTGAGAACATTTTCAATAATAGGAGCCTCTAATTGAAATGTTTTTTTTTAAATAAATAATAATAAAATATTAGTTAAGAAATATTGTATTTTTAAACATGTATTTGTGCATCTGACAAAAAATGGGTTGGCAAGATAAAACAAAACTGTTTTAAAACTCAGTTCAACAAATTTTAATAAAACATAAAAGATGAAGAATTCAAGGAGCTTATGGTGACACTTCACTTTACATATCTTCAAAATGTTTTATGGGATTAGTTTCAAGTTGACAAAACTAAGCTAATTCAATCAGGTTTTACTGGTACCATTACCTAAATTTTATAAGCTTTTTTATTTTTTTAAATCAACTAGTGATTTACTCTTTAGCTCATGGAGCCCAAAGACATTCACATTCTTTTAAACGTACAAAAACTGTGATTCACCTCTCTCTTCTGCTGACATTTACACATAAATGTAGAAAATACTTGTCCCTGAAAAAGGAAGAATACCTTATTGTTGGGATGCACAATATATTGGTGGTCATATCGTTATCGGCCGATAAATTACGTAATTGTACAAAACTGCCTACCTCGCACACGCGTAGCGGAACTTGTTCGAGAGGGTGCTCGCTGCAGAGCCGTTTGAGCAGAGCTGAGCTCCAGCGAGGGGGAGCATGAGCTCTCGCTTTGCCTCCTGTAAGCTGTTTTATTGCGTACACCAACCCCACGCCTAACCCTACCCCCAGTGACATCACTCGTAGAAGAAGTGCAAAAAAGGCGGAGCTCAAGCTCTCCCTCGCTGGAGCTCAGCCCGCCAAAATGGCTCTGCAGCGAGCACCACTTGACTTGTTCAGACTTGTCCAGTGCACTATAATGGAACTCTCCTCACATTGTTTATTCCTTCAAAGTCCATCATTTGGCAAAGTGGTATTGCTATGGGTTAATAACTCTGTAAGTAACCATGTTCCTTATCATTGTAGATATGTTTGATTAAGTGTCATTGTATATTTTGGTTTAAATCATCTCAGGAAAAAATATTACATGTGTAAACAACAGATGCACACGTGCTAAACAACTCGTAGGGTTGATTGTAATCTAATATGATTATTTGTTATTATCAACACATTGCTTGCCATGTGTTGTTGATGTAAGATTGTATTCAGTTTGATTGGAATCATGGGCGTCGCTACGCCCATTATAGGGGGGCTGCATATTTCTATTCAGCCCCCCTAAAACTTATAATTATATATTTTGATATTCAAGATTTGTAAAGTCATACATCTCTGGATAACTTGAAGCAGTGACCATTAGTCTCTCTTCCATCTTTAAAAGTGTCCATAATTGTCTTGACAACTCAACCACTGCTGTCACTTCAACAGAAACAACATCTGCTTTCATTTTATTGGAGAATAAAAAGGCGGGACTGATGACTTTTTTTCGCTCAGAGTTAACATTTTTCAACTGTGAGTGCACAGCACGCAACAGCAAAAATGCAAGGCAGTGTGCAAAATGCTCATGGCCATTAGTAAATCATTCAAAAAAGTGCCTCTCGACGCAAAAATCGTATTTGGTGTGATCGGCCCCTTACTTTGCTTAGAGCAGAATGGTTGAATTATGATTTGTCCAACTAAGTCAATAACCTTTATAATATCTATTATATGCAAATGTTCCAGCCCAAGTAAAATCCTTTTCATATTACATTACGTTCATATGCTGTCTATATATCCAATCAGATACATTAATTATTCACTGATAAATTATCACATGCTTCCTTCTTTTTTTTAGTTTGATTCAATTAAGACTGTGTCCTGCCGTCACTTACTGGGGGGTTTTAATTTGATCTGTAGTACCTTAAGTTACAAAGGATTTCATAATCTAATTCTGAATTGAAACTTAGTCTCCTTGGTGTTATTTTTGCAATTGTAAATACAGGGTAAATACATTAATGTCCCTTCTAAAGACACTTTCATCTCTGCACTGCACAGATAGATTAAAAATATATATATAATGATTTAGTTTGATTAGTAACAGCCACATACAACACTGTTTTTCTATTTAATTTAATTAGAATTTTAAATATACATAAAAATGTGTTTATGAATGTAAAATACCCTAATATATAGCAAGAGAACTGACAAGTGCATACAATGTGAATAATATGAATGTGTTTTTGTAACAGCTGTCCACACACAAAAATGCTGGTTTTGGAATTCCACAGTTTTATATATTACATATTCTTCAGGATTCACAAAGGTCTCAAATGCTTAAATTTAACATAAAAAATTAGCAGCACCCATACTAATGCCGAGTTCGGACTGCATGATTTTCAAAGTAATCATGTTACAGATGTTTTCACACTGCATGACTGTCTGGGCTTGCGTTTAATCGCTGCCTTGTTTACATATGGAGACAGATTAGACTCAATAATAATTCCCGCAAAAGACACAATATACACATGCGTAGCCAAATTCACGGGCATAAAACCAAATTCACGTGCGTAAAATATTTATTTATATTCATAAAAAAAATTCACAAAAAAAAAGAAGATATTTACTCAGGTGAGGATCTTTTTTTTCAGTTTCATTCAGTTTCTAATGACACTATCACGTCTTTTGAAAGAAAACAGCTGCTTTAGAACTTCAAAGGTTCAACAACCTTACAGTTTTATATGTATTAACAATAAAAATGAAAAAAAAAAATAAAAAAGAGTAATCCAGTCTGCGCAAATGGAACGCAGAGTGGGTGTCATTGACTACACCTCTCATCTGGCTGAAAGGTACGAGTTGCCCTGACTCTGCCAGGACAGTCTCAAAAATACACACACATGTATCCAGGGGGAGTCGTACGTGAAAGAGAATTTGCACATTCTCATTTAGGATGAACTCGCAAGTTTTAAACATTTAAAACTTTTTGTACACTCATGTGAAGTTTTTTTTTAAATATAAATAAATATTTTACGCACGTGAATTAGATTTTATGCATTTGAATTTGGCTACGCATGTGTACATCGTGTATTTTGCATGAATTTCTTTTGAGACTTATCTGAATCCATATTTACACTGCAAGATAGATCGGCGACGGGTTTCACACTGCAAGACTTTAACTTTACAATTAGGGTTGGGTATATATATATTTTTTTCGATACCGATGCTAAATCGATACTTTTAAAACGGTACCGGTGCCAAAACGGTGCCTGAACCGATACCTTTTAGCCACAAAATTAATGGAAAATAAATAAACAAATAAATAAATGAACAATATAAATATATATTTATAATACATTTAAAGTAAACATCATTTAATATTTTATATATTTAAATTGCATTAATTTATTACTTTTGACCATTTGTTTGGTAGCATAAATGCAGGATTTGCTTTATGCTATTAACATTACATTAGCTTACTACTAACCTGTGGAAAGGCTGTCATCAAAATCAGGGAACACCTTTTTTTCTGGGTTCGGGGCTTGTGACTATTTTTACATGGACATCAGTGATCTAATGATTTGCATTAATCTAAAAAAAGACAATAATATGATTCAGGTATTTACATGAGCTGCTTTTTGAATGTTACATTCATGATTCCTATTACATGTTCTAGCACATAGATCACTAACATCATTGTGTCACCAGCCTAATGTTTACTCCACAGTTTGTGTCTGTGGTCTTTCATCAAACATCACTGTTTAAGTTGTAGACTCGTAATCAGAGTATTATCCTAATCATATTAAAATCAGAGTATTGGTGTCCATGTAAACATACTCAGATAATGTACCAGATGATGTCACAAGCTGTCAAAGACAGTCCATTCCTCACATTTAAGGTGATTCCATGAGTCTTCACATTTCATAAGTTTGACGTGTTTCTCCCATCACACAGAACTTTTGTAAAACATCTGCTGCATGTTGGTGTGTCAGAATCCTTGCTTGTAAAATATAGCCATACTTTAGAATGCTTAGTTTAAGCAAATTAGATGAGCGAGATCATGTTTCTTGATTTAGTGAGTCGCTCGCTGCATGCGCCGTGCTGCGCGCTATGCCTTTTATAAGCTACAATAACAAACGCCTG